AAGAGAACCTGCTTTGCAGCATAAGAGCAATTATAGCAATTACATCTTAATGATAGAACCATTAAAAACAGTAAATGTAACACTGTGAACTGGTGGTGAAGAGATTCACATCATAGCAGAAAAACAAGTGTGTCGAACTGAGCTTTCCCAATTGGCTTGTACTCTATTTACCACCCATCATGGTGCTATCTAAACAGTACTATTTTAATTATATCCTCACAAACAAATAAATCCTGCTTGTGGATGCTGGCCACCAAGGGTGTTTTTATCTTGTCTGGGATGAGTTTGTTTTTATGCAGTCCCATAAACTCATCAACAAATGCACGGTAATTCATTTTTAATCAGTTTGTCAGTTCGATCAGTAAGCGAGTGGGTTACACTCCCTAAGGACCCCTTTCCAAATAATGAGGGTGGCCATGCAAATTAAAGAAAGCCTTTAGCAGCCCCCCCACACCTCCAAGATATTAAGCTGTGTGTTATTGCCTATAAATGTGCTATAATTTTGTTAAATATTAATGTGGTCACAATAGAAAATAGTTCCCATATACCATTAATGCTACTTTATCTCCTGGTCTCTGGTTGTTGATTCCCTCCCTTATAGTTTAATTCAGTTTTATTTATGCAGCACTAAACTGAGCAATATCTATAGCAGGCATTGTGCAGTCACAACTTTGAATGATATCAGATATTTTCCATTTTCCCTCGGAAATAATCGTTGTATGTGGGTATATCGTTGACTCAGGTATCTGGAGTACACACTAGACCCAACTAAGATCCGTAAGCAAGACGCCACCTCTACCATCCAGAATATTGCCCGAAATGTTGTGGGGATGCCGCTAGCATGGAACTTCATCAATGCTAGATGGAGTTACATCTTCCAACAGTGAGAGCTCTATCCTTTTGTTTCTAAATAGTCAGTACTCACAAGCTAATTGTTAAAGACAGAAAAGAATTTTAAAAGCTGAATTTAACAGCAGGATTTAAGAAGTAATCACATTTCTTTAGGTGCAGATCCTGCTGGGTTTTTTCTTTTTTTTTCACTTACTTGCCCAGTTTGAGTTTTCAAGCATGACTACCTACCTATTACTAATTCCTTCTGCTGAACTACAGCTTTTTTTTTTCCCTTTTCTTTTTTTAGATATGGAAAAGGATCATTTTCCTTCTCTAATCTTGTCAGTGGAATCACACAGAGGTTCTCTACAGAGTATGAGTTACAGGAGGTATGGAGCCAACAAAACCTCAACCACACAGAAAAACACAGAATTTCCCTTTGGGCATTTGGGAGAAAATAAATACAACGATTGCTAAATTTCTGATTTTGTCTGTTTGTATTTGCTCTTCTCTCCAGCTTAAAAGATTCAAAGAAGAAAACCTCAGTGTTGGCTTTGGTTCTGCCACCATGGCCCTAGAGCAGGCCATAGAGAAAACAACGGCTAACATGAAGTGGGTGACAGAAAACAAAGCTGAAGTGCAGCGGTGGTTTGCTCAGGAGTCCACGTGAGAACACCAAAAGCCACCACAGTCCTTTTTTCAGTACTGACAGTGATATGTAATTAATGAAAATCACTATAATCAACGGAAACAACAAAAGCCTTTTCTCTTGACAAATGCAGGAGGACTGTTTAACTGTTGTCACACAATAGCCCACTTAACATCAGCTTTAGTGCAAGGGAAGGGAAGAGACCAAGACAGCGTGTTTGTTTTCTACATATTTTACATTATAAGTTGATCCTTATCATGATTTATACTATTACCCAAGGCAGTAAATTTAATGTAGAGCAGTAGAGGCAGAGATTAATGGCAGCAATTCTACAAGTGGTTAAAATCTGTTGACGACAGCTGTTTTCATGCATGTGCTTGAACTTTCCTAGACAGACAGAGATGCATGGGAGAAATGTCTGATGTGGTGGGATCAGACATTAAACAGTCTCTATCCTGCCAACTTCCTAGTACAAAGTGCATATGATGTGCAGTTGAAGCCATGGTAGAATTATACTTAAAATAAGTCACTGAATTACAGCAAGTGGTGACCACTAAACACAAAGTATTTCCAGAATTAAGAGCACATCTAAAGTTGTGTACTTCCTGTCACCTGTGAAAAAGGACAGCTTTAGACAAATGACCTCATTCACAAAATTTTAATTTTATGTTGCTCATCATCATGTGATCGTTTGCTTCCATCATGTGACATCATGTGTCACACCAACACTGTCCTTCTCCTTCCCTGCATCCATAAACCTCCTCTATGCTTTTCTTCTTCTCCTGCTGCTTGGCAGCTCTACATATTTAACATCCTTTGTCCAATATATCCACTGTCTCTCCTCTGTACATGCCCAAACCATCTCAGCCTTCCTTCTCTAACTTTACAACACCAACCAAAAAGAAATGGTCGTAGAAAGAATAGTACCCATGGAGACCTTTTAGGTGAAGGGTTTCAGGGAGGAGACTTGCGAACACCTTGGTAGCCCTCCTGAAGAGCTGGAGGAGGGGACTGGGGGTTTATGCTTCAGCAGCTACACTGTAACCACAGACCCATCAAAATCTATAGCCTAACCTGTGTCATAACTGGATGTGCATCTTCCCAGAAATGTAACTACACATCAGGCTGATGCAGCTCACAACTATTGAGATTGTCCAGTTCAGTGCGATTCCTCCCATGCCTTTCTGGCTACTTTTTTACGAAATTTTTTGAATTTATCAGCGAAAGAATAACATTGTGTCAATACAAGAAATAATGATGATAGCACCAATGTAAGGGCTCCCAAACTTCAGCAAATTGTTGCAGGGAGATTGCTAAAACTATCTGAATGGATGTGAAGGAAGGTCCAAAGAAGTGGTTATGTTTGCCCCAGAAACAAAGAGTGAGGGGAAAAAGTCCCAGTATTTTATTTATAGCTCTAGGCTGGCGGATAGTACCACAAAAGTAAATGCCGGCAGCTACAAACTGTTTCAGGGATAAACATTTTACTAATAAAGTTTAATTTTTTTTAAACCATCATCATTCTCAAGTAGACATTTTGGAAAGGTGTGGGTTTTCTGATTTCCTCCTCACATACTGTTGTTTTATTTTCCTTAGTTGTCAAATTCATCAGCTTTTTTTGCTTTCCTTACAACACCTTCATGGCTCCTCCATGACTGGCATTGAGATAAACAATTTTCTTCCTTACAAAGAGAGGTGGCAACATACAGATAACAAGCACAAACCCTTCCATTTAAAATCATTCTGATTCTCCAGATGATTCCCCACACTTGTGTTTATCAATAAGAATCATTTGTCCTGATTCATAAGCCAGTCACACCTGTCTAGCAATCAGGCAAAGATCTCTTACCTGGATTTGATTCACAAAGGTGTATGATGAGGGCGCACTCAATTACTGTGCTCCTGTTCTTTGGAACAAGCTGGCTGCTCACCTAAGATCAGTTATATCTGCGCTGACGTTCAAAAACAAACTCCAAATCTCTTTGTTCACACAGGCCTGCACTCAATAACTAAGCGTGTTTTTATGTTTTTTTTTATCTTCTGTGTTAAGCACACTGAGCTTACATATGTATATATTTTCCAAAGTTCATGTGTGAAAACAGCTTGCCTTTAATCCAAACTTCATGTCACATTTCAAACTGATTTCCCATGAATAAACTTGCATTTGTACCTGTTCTTGGTGTGTTTATTGCAAACGGGCAGTAACTATAGATTCCTCTTTTCTTCCCATCGTTGTTTACTGACAATTTCTGCAGCTTTTGAGTTTTTAATTGAAGTGGATGAGTTTACATTTAGAATAATAGTACATGTTTCATTACGCATTTTGGCTTTTTTAAACTTAATTATTACATTTTTAATCACCTGCCAAATCAAAATAAAAGACCTGCAAACCCTAAAGAGTTAACATAGATGAATGGAGTCGTTTTTCCCCATTGAGCAGTGACAGGTTAAAAACTTTCCCATAAAATATCTCATTAGAAACATAATAGGTCATAAGAAGGGTTGTTTTTCTAAGCTGAGCGCTTGGATGAACTTTCCCTGTCAGGAGCATCTCACTGCAGGTCTAATCCTGACAATACAAGCTTGTACTTTTAGCCGCAGGAATGTAATCAGATGGAAAACGGAGTCTTTTCCAATATATTTTTAAAAGGAATCATCTGCCGGTAGTTACAGTCTGTGTAATTACAGTCTTATTGGAAGCCTCAGCATCTGTCAAAAAAAAGATATACGGGATAAAGATGTCAAATTAGTCATTCTTGTTTCTACTCGTTTGAAACAGATGTTACACTTTAAGGTGAAACGATGAGCTGATGAAAGTTTTTACCAATATGTTTAACATTAACACTAAGGTTAATAAAACATTATTCACTTTCCTCTTACACTCTATTGATTTTTTTAAACTCATATAGAGTCTGTCTGTAATGACGGTGAAGCTGCTTATATTCAATTTAATTAAATTAATTAAATTTCTTACTTGGCTTAATTTTAATTACTAAACAAACAAAAGAACAGGACAATTTAGGATAAGAGCGGAACAAACAATGTATGCAAATAATGACAACAACAATGATAATAATTATAATGATGATAATCATTATCTTCTTCTCATAGTCATGGTCGTCATGGCCTATGCGGTGTATTCCTGCATCTGTAATGTAGTGCATTACACAATATCTACAATATCCACACAATAAAGAATACAGATGGAAAATCGATATGATAGAACATTATAGTATTAACGTAATTGTAATAGTAATAATACCTCTATCATGAAATACCTGGAACACAGGTGTGCTGGAGAAATGCCAGTAAACATAACATTGACCTTATCAAGACAAGACACAACAAGTCCAGAAGTATCTGCAGTTCTGGCTTTATGACATCAGTGCTTGTGTAATAGCTTCCAATGTTATTTGTACGCAGTCACTGTCGGCTCAAATCTGAGAAAGTCCCAGCTGATTCAGTAAGTATTTTCCTTTATCATCAAAATAACAGGACATATTTATTCTGGTTAAGCAGCCGCTTTGCTCAAAGTTTGGAGGACAACAAGATAGTTGGATCCACAGGTGAAAAGGAAACTGAAACCAGTGACTTGATGCTAAGTAAATTCAAGGTAAGAAAAATGTTCTACTGTTTGTGTTTCTAGCTGAAGGTTTAGAGTTACAATGTATTTTTAGTCATTTTTATGTGTGTGTGTGTGTGTGTGTGTGTGTGTGTGTGTGTGTGTGTGTGTGTGTGTGTGTGTGTGTGTGCGCGTGCACTTTGTTTAACCATTTCAACCGTGAAGTATGAAAAAAGCAAGACTATCCGAAGTGATATGCATCAAAAAATGTTTTTGTTTTAGTGCAAAAACTACTTTAAAATAGAAAAAGAAGGATAGAGAAAGAAGATCTTTTTCGCTTTTCTTCATAAGAGAGGGTTGAGAGTAGTGTTTGGGTTATCACTTTAGATCTCACACTTAAGACCACCCACACAGCAAAACTCATTCATAAGATGATCAAGAGAACGCTGCCAAATATTTAAACGTGAAAGATGAAAAACCTTTGAAGAACATGTCTAAAATATTAAAAGTTTAAGGACACTTCACATTAGATGACCACCAGAACGTTTTTGAACCAAATTTAACCCCATTTTAGTCTTGATGGGTTTGTACTATCTTGACATTTTTTTTCACACATCTAGTCAACAAAAAATTGCGCTCTGAGTAAACAAGGCCCAAAGGATTGATAATCAGTTGAACTGGACTGAATTAAAGTCTTTGTAAAATCCCAAAAAGACAACTTTTAATAAACTTTAAATGTTAAAGGGCCTCTTTTTAAAGTCTATCACTGCCTGAGGCTGGAAAACAATGTCCACATATGTCTGCTACTTGGTAGGGAGAAAGATCAAAGATAAAATGTACATTTAAACAATTTATTTTGCATCATAGAAACATTGGACAGTTATCTCATTAACTGCAACGATTTGCATACTTTTCCAGAAAAATTATTTAAGCAATGTATAGAGACAAGCACAAAACTCTCATTTCAGTTTACTGTTATATTGGAGTCAAAGCATTTTTTCTGTTCCTACATAAATCAGAAAATATTTTTGTGAGTGAAACATATTTCATATAAATCCAGCTCTAAATGATACAGTGGCTTGCAAAAGTATTCGGCCCCCTTGAACTTTCCCACATTTTGTCACAGTCACAAAGATAAATCAATTGTATTGGAATTCCACGTGAAAGACCAATAGAGGTCCGAGGATCTGAAAACTGCTGTTCACAAACGCTGTCCATCTAATCTGACTGAGCTGGAGCTGTTTTGCAAAGAAGAATGGGCAAGGATTTCAGTCTCTAGATGTGCAAAGCTGGTAGAGACATACCCTAAAAGTCTGGCAGCTGTAATTGCACCAAAAGGTGGTTCTACAAAGTATTGACTCAAGGGGGCTGAATAATTACGCACACCCCACTTTTCAGTTATTTATTTGTAAAAAATGTTTGGAATCATGTATGATTTTCGTTCCTCTTCTCACGTGTACACCAGTTTGTGTTGGTCTTTCACGTGGAATTCCAATAAAACTGATTCATGTTTGTGGCTGTAATGTGACAAAATGTGGAAAAGTTCAAGGGGGCCGAATACTTTTGCAAGCCACTGTATGTACAACTTTCATATTTTAGACAAGATGGAACTTTAGGTTCATGCATGTAAACTGGAGATCCTTGACTGGTGTGAGAAAAACACTAATTTAGGGAAAATAGCCTGAAAAACTCATGAATTGTTTTGAATGCATGGGTAGCTGCTAAATATAATCCTGTATACATGTAAGATTTTGGTCCTGTTATGTGTTTCAGATTAAAAATAGTGAATCTTTTAAGAAAAAAAGATTATTTTGCTTCGTGTTGCTCAGTGCAGAGGGGGCTGGATAATATAAATGTATATTATGTCCACAATATGATTATGAATCTACCCTAAACAGAGGCCACTGTGTGAATTTGATCTGCCTCATTGGATGGTGACAGCACGTTGCCATCCTTTGCAGATAAAACCACAACATTTTGCAGCTGACAAATATCACTAAAAGGCCAAAACCAACAATGAATTGCAATAAATATGTTAAGCTCCCTTGATTCACAGTTACAATGGATAATATTTGAACATATGGGAACCAGTTTATTAAAAAACAGTGACAGAGAAGAAAAATGATTACACTCTCACTTTCCAGAAACAACTTTCTGGTTGTGAAACTTATGGGATTTGGTGATAATAAGTAAGAAAAAATTGAAAATCGCTCAAGTTAAATAAACATGCAGCTGGACTTCTCATGCAGTGCTACTGGAGCCTTGAATGCAGAGTTTTGCCTTTTTGAGGACATACGGGAAAACATTACAAAACCGTTGTGGAATAAACACAAATGCTGTATAATATGCAGCAGTTATGAAAAGAACTGTGTGGCATATGCCTGCTCTACAGCCGCCAAATAACATGGAATAAAAATAAAGTTGTGCCTCAATGAATAGTGAATATTTTCAGATGGGGACCAGCTACCCCAATACCGTTTCTGTAAGCCTTTATTCTGACTCCTCCGTTGTTAGGCCATTAGAAACAGACCCATGTGACACATTAGTCACATGGATCTGAAGCAGCTCAGATGTGACTACTAAGATTTTTGTAGATGTAATATGATATCATAATAGCTAATGTATTACAGAGAAATGTAATGTGATCACAGTACTATTTTGCTTTGCAATGCATCACCCTGTGCTGGTGGCAAAACAACCTGAATGAATGCATCCTGGGTGTGGCGTGGGTGATGTAGTAACTACGGTGGAGCTGAGCTGCTTCTCAGCACTGACTGACTCATAAACCACATCTCATTATTACAGTAAACTTTTAAAGATACATGACTCACTTACGCTGAAGTGACGTTGCCAACAGTATACCTATGCTTTCTGTTTAAGTGACACTCATTTTTGCTTTTCTCCTTCTCCTTGTTGACCTAAATCCAGAAATTCAACAATATACTGTTGAACTAATCTAAAAGGCATGTGTTTTCATTTCTAACCCTACAATTTCTCTCTTTTTTAACATCTCCAGTCACTTAGCTGGAGTAAATTTAGATTTTTCACAGCATCTTGGGAAAAAATAAAAGTTTATGGCCTTGTGTAAACCCATACTTAGCCTATTTCATTATGTAATTTTGGCTTCTTGACTTGACGTTTGAAAATTATGCACAGACGCATATGCAGACAGACACATAGGAGGCTCTGCCGCAGATCTCCCACCACATAGTTTACAACACACAGAGACGAAACAGGCCAGTTTCTACAGAGGGCCTTTGTTCAGAGCCTTTATGCAGATAAAAAGTTTAAAGATTAGTAGAGCTTACTCTTATCGCTGGAACTTTTTACAACTCAACATTTTTGACTTCAGGACATTTTCTCCGCCCAGGAAATGAATCATTAACTTTGAATCCAGCAAGGTAGGATATAAATTACAATCATTCCCTAATTTCTGTCTTTCTCTTCTTCTCTGGTGAAGACATGGGTAAAGGCTTCTTCATCAGCAAAGTGGTGGCAGTGGTCTGCGTGGTTGTAGCCATCAGTGCTGTGGCCACCATCATAGCCCTCTCAGTTGTTTATGCTCAGGAGAAATCAAAGAATCAAGAGACTCCGGCGACTGCAACGACTGGAACGACTGCTGGACCTGGCACCCAGACCACCACACCCTCCACCCCAAAAGAGCCCTGGCAGCACTACAGACTTCCAGATTCATTGTCTCCTATCTCATACAATGTGACCCTGTGGCCCCGGCTGACTCCCAACCCTGATGGCCTCTACATCTTCAGTGGATACTCCACGGTGCTGTTCACATGCGTGAACGAGACTGACCTCATTCTCATCCACTCCAACAAGCTGAACTTCACAATGTTTGACGGATACCACGCACAGCTGAAAGCTATGGATGGAGCCTCTGCACCCCAGCTGAAAAAGAGTTGGCTGGAGGTTCCTACTCAGTATCTGGTGATCCAGCTTAGCAGCCCTATGCAGGCCGGCAGCACTTATGAGCTCTTCACAGAGTTTGTCGGAGAGCTGGCTGATGACCTGGGAGGATTCTACAGGAGTGAATATTATGAAGACGGCGTGCGAAAGTATGAACTTCTTTTTTTATTAAGCTTAAGTTCATGACATGATTCAAATGAGCAAAGTGTTGCAAGTTGGACAAGTCCTCTGCTCTTTCTAAAATTTAAATGACAGAATGTTAAACTAAGATTGTAAACATGGGGAAACAGCTAAAAGCTCACAAGTTAATTTGTAATGTCTAACAAGTTGCCTCATTCCCAAATTTAAGACTGTTGCATCTAAGTATTACCTAATAGCCACTCCTTAATTTTAACTGTTCTCCCACCATTAATGAAATATCAGATGTGCACTAGTTTAAAAGTAAATGCATGAATTAATAAATTTAGAATAACTTTACTTTAAATCAAACCACTGTATGTTTTCATTTTTAATCATTTTAAAAATGTAAAGATTTAATTGTGTAATCACAATCACTTTATGGTAATTTAAATATATATTTATTAAAGTGAAAAACAAAAAAAAACAAAAAACAAAACCGTATGTATTGTATATGATCACTTGGAGCCTAAATGCAAGCACCTTCACAGCCAGGCTATGATTCATGGACATCAACCAATGTAGTTTTAACAAAACCACTAATATTATGAAATGAAGTCAAATAAGAATTCAATACAAAACCAAGTTTTGCTTTTGGACCTCTGTAATTAAAGCTGATATGTGTAGGATTTAAAATACAAAACACTCATCTTGATAAGGATTTAATGAAAGTCACGGTCAAGTTTGTTTTAAACTTTCCATTTAAAGAAAATCAAGTACGTCAAAAAGAATTCAACACCTGACTCGATTATGTGGATGTAATTATTACGTTCTCTCTTCTTCCATTATCAGAATTTTGGCCACGACTCAAATGCAGCCGACGGACGCGAGGAAAGCCTTCCCCTGCTTCGATGAACCAGCTATGAAAGCCGTCTTCCACATGACTCTCATTCACCCTCACGGGACTGTGGCTCTGTCTAACTCCATGAACTATGGCAAGTTCTATTCTTGTTTAGTGTTCAGAGCAACATTTAACGTATCAACTGCCCCCGTGTGACGACTTTAAATTAATCTCAATTACATTTTGTCTATTTTCCTCTGTTTTCCTCATTTATCATTAATACGGAGCTGTCTCTGACCCCAAAACAGAACCTATAAACATCACCACTCCGGATGGTTTGAATTTAATCCAGACAAGCTTTGGACCCACAGAGATTATGTCAACCTACCTGCTGGCTTTTGTTGTGTGTGACTTTGGATTCATTCAGTCAGATCTAGGTGCAGAGGTTTTGGTGAGTATTTACTAAAGCTTTCAGTTAGAATCACAGAAACTAATGGCAACATATTATTTAATATTTTTGGTTCCTTTTAAATAGATTAAAATAAATAAATAAACTACTCTGGTCTATGTTAGGCCCGATAATTCAAGTTGATCTGTGCTCATGATAGTTTGAATTAAAATTAGAGCAGTGAGGCCTCATCTAAAAGATTTTAAAATATATGCAATGCTCATTTCTGCTCTGGATTCTGGTGCATAGGCTGAAATGGATAAATCATGGATGTTGAAGTAAACTATCAGAGATAATAGGTGCTATTTTCAGAGAGAATAATTGCTGCATTAGTTCTTGGAAGAAATGTATTAAACTGAAAATAATCACAGCAATACTCAGTTATTTTCACCTAAACCTGGCCTTTAATGTAATGGATTTTTTTTTACATCACGAGAGCGGCTGTTTGCCCTCTCTGCTGGTCACAGTGATTGTTTGCTGCCCTCTGCTGGACTCAGAGCTCACTTCAGCTCTCAGGTCCACATGCATTTCCTTCTGTCTGGTTAATACAGCTGTTTTCCCTTTTTCAGATCAGGATCTGGGCTCGCAGGAAGGCTATAGATGAGGGCCAGGGTGCATATGCTCTGGAGAAGACTGGACCCATACTGTCTTTCTTTGAGAAGTACTACAAAATTCCCTACCCCCTTAAAAAGTCAGGTGAGAACAACAAATACCTAGGAAAACAACAACAAAAAGGACCATATATAATCCAAAAATGACATCTTTGATAAATTTCAGACCAGATCGCTCTGCCTGACTTCAGTGCTGGAGCCATGGAGAACTGGGGTCTGATCACCTACAGAGAGACTGCGCTCTTATACAATCCTGCAGTGTCATCTAACGGAGATAAAGAGTGGGTGGCAACAGTCATCTCCCACGAGCTGGCTCATATGGTACCTAACAAACCTTAACTGTAAATATGGTAAGACTAAAATATGTTTACAAACCAATACAGTGACATGAAGCTTTGTCCTCACAGTGGTTTGGAAACTTAGTGACCACGAGGTGGTGGAATGACTTGTGGCTTAATGAGGGATTTGCCACCTACGTTTCTTATCTTGGAGCCAACTACACAGAGCCAGACTGGAATATGGTGAGTTTTTTGTTGTTGTTGTTGTAGTTTTACGCAGAGGTCAATTTAAAATTGAATAATGCGCCTGGTTGGAACACAGTACAAATATTTCTCCATGTCTTTTCCAGAGCGATTTAATAGTTTTGAACGAGATCATTGGTGTGATGGCTGTGGACGCTTTGGCCTCTTCCCATCCCCTCTCATCCAAAGAGGCGGACGTCATGAGACCAGAGGACATAAATGCACTGTTTGACTCCATCACATACAGCAAGGTGCAGTGTAATTTACAACAGAACTAAACTACAGTAACCCAGTGTGTTGTATTCTTCAAGCTCCGCTAATCAAGTTACTGACCCAGTGTGTTGTTAGGACAACTTCATTAGGAACTTCACTTTCAGAAATATGGGTTCAATTACTGGACCTGAAGATGACTACTATAGTCGTATTTGATTTGATTTGACTGTTACTTACATATACAAATCTACTTCCATGTGCATCGACATATAATCAATAGCTACATAGCTATCACTAGAGGATCACAACTTAAATTGTTAATGTACAAAAAAGTACTCCAATCAAGGGTATAATGGCAGATTCTTTCCCAAGAGTTTAAAAATGAGCATAACTGGACTTTTTTGGTAGTTCTTTTAACAGCTGATATGTTTCTTCACAGGGAGCTGCAGTTCTCAGGATGCTCTCCAGCTTCATCACCGAGGAGGTCTTTTCAAATGGACTCAGTGTGAGTACTGTTAATTCAACTTATAAGGTTCTGTCCATAAATCAGGATAAATGTTAATGCGCTCATATCAGCATTTTATTGACATGCATCAATCTAAGTCATTCATAATTTGTCTACAGATGTATTTAGAAGAGTTCAAATATAAAAACACAGTCTACCAAGACCTGTGGAAGAACCTGCAAACGGTAAGTTTGTAACACTTAAAAAAATTTATTTTTTAAAATGTATTCATTCATTTGTTGGTTTATTTATTTATTTATTTATTATTAATATTATTTAAATATGAAAATATGATTTAAAAAGGAAAATGTCTTATTATATTTATTTTATTATTAATTTATATTAAGACTATTAAAAGAATAACAACAGCAAGATGTTTCCTCATATGTCCTAATATAACTGGATCAATTATCCTCTGAAGCAAATTGTGTGATGGAGCCAAGAACTATGGGTATTGTAGTGAGTGGGACTATAGGGAGCATGGCTCAGTGTTAGCACTGTGGCCTCATCACAAATGGGTCCTCGGTTCTAACCCAGTCAGAAACCTTCTGTCTAGAGTTTGTAGGTTCTTGCAGGGTTTTTTATTCCAGCAACAAACATGCATACTGCTTTTTCTTTTACATTTCTGTTAAAACAGGAGGATGTTGATTTTAAACATGGCCACGTTTTAAAGAAAGAGGTCCATGTATGAACAACTAATCCAACTAAGCTGAAAGCTCTGGCTTCAGATTGCTTTAAACGCTCCACTTCAGTCCGTTTTTTCTTGTCTTACTTCTGAATGTTAATGAGGTTATTTCAGGCACACTCAGAGTACAGACAACCCAACAATGTCTTAATCAAAACTTTGGATTGTGTGGGGTAACCCATCAGAACAGAGTGAGTTCAAAGGCAGGGTATCCTTAAGGGTCCATTAACCCACCATATCAGTCGTGCTGTGCATGAACATTGAGGGTGCCACATCTCTGTGGTGGTTTATACATCTGCCTATGGAAAGGTTCCTTGTTTGAAAAGAGGACAAGATACAAATGTCTTTGGAGTGTTTTGAGGGAAAGGCAAAAATCTGCCAAACTGGCTGTACTGCTGCAGTATTTGCCTGAATAACAGGTTTCGTGTGGAGCTGATGGTAGTGAAGAAGAAGTCAGATTACAAAAACTGAGAGGTGCACAGCCAAAAAAACTCCAAAATGAGGCTTGTGCGTTGCGAGTATAATGGGTCCAAAAGAGAGAGAAAACAAATTGTTTCAGACCGTGTTTCAGAACGTGAATGGCCTCCTTCCATTTCTGTATAAATAACATTAATGTTTCTACTATATTATAGCTTTCCACCCAGTTTAAATGTACTTAAAATAATGCTGAACTAGTGACTGCAACACAAAGATCACTGCAGAGTATGAGATGAGCAATTTAAAAGTGCGATGACTTCATCATTTACGATAATAAATAAATAAACGATGATGACTTATACTTGAAAAAAATATCAAAAATATTCTTTGTTACTGACCATACTGAAATGTGAAAAGGAGCTGACACACAGATTGTTATACTATTATATTAATTCGGTTGTTCTTGTTATCAGGCAGTGGATAATGCTGGCATACAGCTGCCCCACTCTGTGGAAGTGATTATGAACCGGTGGATCCTACAGATGGGATTCCCAGTGGTCACCATCGACACCAGTACTGGAAAAATCTCTCAGAAGCACTTCCTGTTGAACCCAGATTCTGTGGTGGACGTACCTTCAGAGTTCAAGTATGATCCTTTTTTTCATGTTTCATGAGCACATTTTTTAACATGTTCTGATCATGTCATGTTAAAATCACCCGCTCTCTTCTCTCACCTTATTTACTTACATGTGTGTCTGGCTGATGTGGCTCCAGTTATGAGTGGTTTGTCCCTATTACCTGGATTAAGACTGGTGCAGCTAAAGATCAGTACTGGCTTCTTACCAAAGAAGGTAAGATTTACTGTGTTTCGGGTCACTGTAGTTTGGCAAAGATAAATTAAAACGATTAATTTGTTTTTAATCTTCACCCAAACAGCAACAAACCCAGACATGACGATTGGTGCTAGTGAATGGTTGATAGCCAACATAGACATGAAGGGCTTTTATAGAGTAAATTATGATTCTGAAAACTGGGACCGTATCCTCACCAAGCTGAGCACCCAACATCAGGTATAACACCTAGAATACCTCTGCGTCATCTCGTAATAGCTACGATTGCCTCCAAACTAATTTTTTAATGTGCCTTTTAGGCTATTCCAGTGATCAACCGCGCTCAGATTATTGACGATGCATTTAACCTGGCAAGGTGAGGCCATGCTTTTTGATTTTATTTTATTTTTAGCAGTACTGCTAAATACTGAAATAAACAACTGAACAGCTGTATGGGTTATTTTTAGGGCGAAGATAGTCAGCACAACTCTGGCTCTGAGCACTACGAGGTTCCTCAACGCGGAATTGGAGTACATGCCCTGGCAGACGGCCACTCGCAACTTGGACTACTTTGTCCTCATGTTTGACCGCAGCGAAGTGTACGGACCCATGCAGGTTTGTAGGAAAACTTTAAGGCTCATCACCATCAGTACATCATCAATAAATTAATCCAAACAAGTTTTTGGAACAATGATGATTTGAGATTAATCGTGTAAGTTAATCATAGAAGTAGAAGAGTCAGTGGCAATCAAACGTAGATCATTTTTTCTGCACAGTAAACAAACTGTTTCATCTTCATTCCTCAGGGTTACATAAATAAAAAGGTCACCCCTCTATTTAAACACTTCAAAGATCTCACTGCCAACTGGACAAAGATCCCTGAAAAGCACACCGACCAGTAAGGATGTTAACCTGCTGCCTGTCTTTTTTACTCTTTTGAACATGTTATAAATGCCATGAATGACAATTACATTGTAGGCTAGATAAACCTTATTATCCCAGTTGCAAAAGCCTGCATATTGCAAAGAATGTGCCGTCAATGTCATGTAAGACACAGTACTTCACATATCTCTTGAAAGTGTTCACAACAATCATTGATCAAGTCTGCACATAATTCTTCCCTTTCTCTCCCACCACTGCATTTCTATAAGCTAACCTAATCTGGTCAGTTATCATCAAGTTCGCTTTGTGTGTCCTCAATGATTTCCATTAACTTGAGCTATTAGTGCTGCAATGATCTTTTTAGCATTATCAGATCATTTTTCTTGGTGACCCAAAAGGAAATCAAATCAGCTATACTGAACTTATATTGTTAATTAGCACATATTAGCATGATGATATAATAAACCATGTGATGTGAATGTGTTAAAGACATTCTGCGTATTAGCACTGCCAGATAGCATTTAGCTTCAGTTCAATTCGATTCAGTTTTATTTAAACAGCGTCGAATCACAACAATAACGGTCTCCTAAAGGCACTTTATATTGTAAGGTAGACCCAACAGTAATACAACAGAAAAAACCCCAGCAATCATGTAAACCCCCCACCATGATGAAATGCTTTGGCAACTGTGGGAAGGAAGAAACCTGCCATAGAACAAGGCTCAGGCCGGGTGAGGGAAGGAAGACAGGACAAAAGACATGCTGTGGAAGAGAGCAAGAGATTAATAATAACAAATGATTAAATACAGAGAGGTGTATAAACTTATAGTGAGTGAAAAAAGGAGACTGAAGAAAGAGCTTATCTGCTTTTCTGCAGAGTATATCTGCTAGTGTGGCTACAAACTCACATTGTCTCTGCTGCTGAAAGCTACCTGGTTAGCATGACCTTGACAACTTTTACTCCTCCTGGTGTCTAGACACTGGTTGGTGGTCCCTGAATTCTCTTTTGCCACATAGCAAGGTTAACATCCACTGAGAGTGTGAAATGTGCAGCACTCCACACTCCATTATGAGTACTACAGTACTTTTGGGTACTCGCAGAGCCCTGAATGCAGTCAGTTAAACACTTTGCATGCTCCACACTTCTAGCATTCAGAAATGTGAAATACATTTTGAGCCATGTGTCTTTGGCTATGCCTCGTCTTAATGGATAGCGTCATTAATGTTTGCATTCTCCTGACTCGCTTACATCCAGGTACAATCAGGTGAACGCACTCTCCTGGGGCTGCAGCACAGGAGTGGAGGGTTGTAAGGAACTGACAACAGCGTGGTTCAAAGAGTGGATGGACAACCCTGATAATAACAAGTACGTTAAACAACAATTATTACTTATATTCATCCCCTTTGCTTCTTGTATAATCATATATTCTTACTTCATATGTTTGCCTACACTATAGGTATTCACTACCATACTTTAACTTTTATTAGATATACATTTCCCAAACATTTTAGCTCTGATCTGACATGTATGATTCTGTTTTGGGCAGTGATTGTTATCACCTTTTTTCCTGTCTTGTTCAAACCATCCAGGATTAGCCCCAACTTGAGGACCACAGTGTACTGCAGTGCAATTGCTGAAGGAGGAGTGGTGGAGTGGGACTTTGCCTGGGGAATGTATAGGAATGCTACCATTGCCTCGGAGGCTGAAAAACTTTTGTATGCTCTGTCCTGCACCAAACAGCCCTGGCTGCTGAACAGGTCAGTTGCAATAGCAGCTGGGTAACGCTCTGCCCTTTCATTTGGTACTTCTTAGGTAATATAACATTTTACAGACTGGTCTGAGTGACTTTTACAACACCTTTGATGATGCATTTTGTCTTTCAGCCTCACTGTAATTGTGTTTTATCAGAATCAGAATCAGAGTCAGAATATTTTATTAATCCATATTATTATGTAAATGATCTTTTAGGTATCTGGAATACTGTCTGGTCCCAGAGATGATCCGTAAGCAGGATGCCACCTTCACCATCAATTACATTGCCGGTAATCCAATTGGACAGCCCCTGGCTTGGGACTTTATTAGAGCCAACTGGGATCACATTTTCAATAAGTGAGTTTTCTCCTTATTTAATAATAATATGTACAATACTATGCATATTTTAGTAATCCTCTGTAAGGAAATTACTCTCTGCATTTAACCCATTCACTCAGTGAAGCAGTGGGAGCAGTGTGTAGGGACGGTACCTTGCTCAGGGGTACCTCAGGGTAGCCATTCTGTAGATTTGACCCCCCATCCTTCCATTAATGGGGCGACCACTTTGCCTACTGAGCTATCCCTGCTTTACATAGCATAGCCAGTTTCCCACATGCATTGCATCCCTGAACTTTTCCAGGACTTACCTGACAAAGGACCATGTTAAAGCGCTTTAATTGTAGTTGCACTAGTTTCTAGTAGTGCAAATGCATATGACATTTCATGTGATACGCACAATATTTGGCAATACAAATTAAAAATGGATATTTCCTTGATTCTGGAGGCATATTGGGATGAACGTGCACAGCCAAAGAGCTGTTGTCATACGTAGCTGTTTGCATACTGATAAAAGCCCTCTAATGTTTGCCTTTTCTTCAGCTATGGTGGAGGATCAATGTCCTTTGGAAGACTTATTAATGGAGTGACCAAACGTTTCTCCTCTGAGTTTGAGTATAAGCAGGTACATTTTCTTTTCACCTCCATATTTTCAGATAAAATTAAATACTTGCTAACATTGCTACAATTACAGCAAATTAGTGTCAGTTTTAAATGTCCGTTTTTTCACATTCTTCCTCTATAGCTGCTGCAGTTTAAAGAAGACAACATAAACCAACTTGGCTCAGCTGCCTCATCTCTTGAGCAGGCGCTTGAGAGAACCAAGGCCAACATGGACTGGTTGGCTCTGAATAAGAAACTAGTGTTTGACTGGTTCACCAATGAAATCTCAGGGAGAGTTTGATAACTGAAACACAGTTTTCACTTTTTAAATGTCGAAAATGTTCAAATCTTTAACTTTGCTGAAAGCAAATGTATTTTTGAAATATATATATTTTAAATGTATTGGAGATTTTTTTAATTGTAAATTTTTGATTAAAAAAGGCTTTTTAAGAATAAAAAAGGATTTGATTAATTCTCTTGGTTTTTGTGTGTGTTGGCACGTTAACTTTTAATATGTTATAGGGTTAGCTTGTCGTCCCCATTTTTAAATATTAGGCAGATGTAAGTACATAGAAAAAATGTTTTGAAGTCTTAATTTGTTACTTTTTGTAATTCTGAGGGTAGATAAAAGAGTCAGTTTGTCTGCAAAATGCCACACTGGAAATGAATGTTTGAAAAGTTTTGGTTGTTCTTTGCTCCAGACATCTGTTCAGCATCATAGATCACACTGTGAAGCATCAACTTACAAGTGTGATGGGGCAAAATTGTATAAATAAAGCATCCCAATGAGACACGCTCAGTCTGTTTAACAGTCAAGTCTGAAATTATATCAGACCCAAACATTGATTAATTAATTAATTTTTTAAAAAAGGATCTCAGCCATCAAGTAATGTTTACACAGGATGTTAAAGGGTGCTGACTGACTGGTTCTAGTTCAGCTGTCATTTCTCTCAGTGGGGGTCTTTCCTTAAAGACTTTAGAGGGGATGTGCTCCTTGTTTAGCACCTCATTGTCCTGCAGCTGCAGTGTTTGTTTAGGAAGGAAGTGGCAGGCAAGCTACAAGTCTACATCATTCATGATGCCAAAAGTAAATGCACCAATAAGCCAAGAAGCAAGGATTAATTTGATAAATAATGTTTATTCTGCTCACAATATGAAAGTTCAATAAATACAAAGATCTATATACAAAAATAAAACGTTAGAATACATATTTTGTTAAAATTAACAAAAGAAAAACAGAGGTTTTGTGCATAAATCTTGTCATTGTTGCAATGAAAAGGGTTCAGTGGATTGATCACCACATCTCTCAACACAGTCCAGAGAAGGTGACATTTTGGTTTTGTTGCTGTAGCATCCAGTACTGCTCGCTATTCAAGCAAACTCCACCTGGAACCTGACAACAGAAGACAGTTTTTTTTTTATTAGAAACTCATTTAGCTTTAACATTTTGGAATGTAATCAAAAATTGTGCTGCAAATCTTTATAGAAAATATTTTTTCAATAATATATGTTATGTTTATTATATTAACATACCTGATATGAATTCTGCAGAAAGGGCTGCTGGGCTTTGCTCATGGTGTTACAGCTTGGCTCTTCGGGACTGTAACTGGCTGCTGGCTGACCCAGGAAATTGTTGAAGGTTTGGGTATGCTCCACTGAGTTTGAGGATTTCTTCTGCTCCAGCACTTCCTCGCTGAGGCCCAGTTGGGCTGACAGGAAAGAGATGTAACGAATGGTGAGGCGCAGAATCTCAATCTTGGTCAGAGTCTGGCTGGCTGGTGCCACTGAATGTGGGAGGTATGATCTGAGGTGATGCAGAGCCTTGGTCAAATCCCTCATCCTCAGCTTCTCCCTCTCGCTGGCAGTCTGGCGCTTTTTACCCGGGTACCTGGATCTGGACTTCTTTGTTGCAGAAGAGGATTTGGAGCAGAGTGGAGTCTGGTGAGTGAGATGAGGTGCTGCAGGGGTATTAAAGATTAAGCAGTCCAAGGGATCTTGTTCACTTCCAAATGTTAGGAGGGAAGTAGGGGAGAAGCAGAAGGAGTCCACAGAGGAAGTAGGAGACAGGCTGTTGCCAGTGCTGCTGTAACCAGCGTCTGAGGCAGGATCAGAAGCCAGAGATTTTTCTAACAGAGATTCGCAGTCAAAGAGGAAAGAGTTCTCCTGGAGTGGGAGAGGAGAAAAGTAGGATACCTCCATTGTGGCTGCTGTAGGCTCTTCTTTGAGAAGTCAGCTGTTAGTATGTTGCTGGTAAGGCAGGCAGAGGATACTGAGGAGGTACATGGAGGCTGCTCCATATATGTGGTGGGAGGTGTGAGGTTGCACCTCTGACAGCCACCTCTGGTCCTGAGAAACTCTGGGACCACAGATGACACCTAGGCTAGGGGGTCCCATGGGAATCTGGCATGCTTCAGCACAAGGTGTAACCTGGCAACTTGCGTGGTCATTATAAACTCTACAGGTTCACACTATATGCTCCCACAGCCTGGGAACATGACCCTGGCACGACTGGGGTTGTACCTGGGTCACAAGTTCTTCTTTGAATCTTAGAATTTTATTAAAAAACCCAAAGGCACCGATTGGAAGCAGCAAATGTGTATGTTACCAAAAGCGCATCTCAATTTCTCCACAAAAGAAAAATGTTCACTTGCAGCATTTCTGCTTCATGGATGCTCACTGAATGACCATTCAAAATATGATCCTACTTTAAAAAAATGCTGATGATGTAGCTGTTGTGTGTATTACTAACTGTTTTTAGTTCTGGCATGTGGTAACAGAGGTCAGGCTGGAAGAAGTGTGTCTGGGCAGCTGTGAGGTGTGAGGATTTTGCACCTTGAGCTGTTTGGACAGCAGCAGTACTCAGTGCTTCTGGAAGGTAAAACTGTGGATCGTCAAGAAGTAATGCCAAGACAATAAAAACAGGTATGATATTATTGTGGATATTTTTTTTCATGTTGCTGTGCAGTATATATCTGAAATTCATCTTAATTATGCTCAATAACACCTATAACTACAAACATATAATATTCACGCAATCACATCCCTTCACTAATTGCCCATTGGTGGGTTTGTTTTCACTCATGAACCATGGATCTGAGTCCTGAGCAGTGTTCCCACAAACCAGCGCGTCACATTTGTCTCCTTTTCTGCAGCAGAGGTGAAACCTATGTCTAGGAAGTGCGAACCCGTTTCGCACAGCACCCACCAACAAACTTCCCCAAGAAAAACAGCCACCTTAATTCAAAGAAAACACTTTTTTTTATATTTACATTTGAATGTTTTTTGTTTTGTACATATTTCTGATGTTGCCTATTGAATAATGTGTTTGAGAACTTGGTCAACTTTGGTTATTTTGAAACTTGATTTGATTTTTTAAAATTAATTAAGCTTCAAAGGGTTTTAGGAGACACTAAGCTAGTCAGCTCACTTAAACATTGCAGTCTTTTGTGCTTAAGAAGGTTCCTAACGAGGGAACAATAAAGTATCAAAGTGACAGCCACAATATGAGTTGGACATCTGATCTAGATGAACAGAGTGTCGGTATTTATTCATTCCAGAAGAAAGCGAATAATGCCATCCCACAATCCAAAGCAAGACACCATCACAACATCACTGGCAGGAGTTGTAGTGTTTCACATAAATTACTGTTGTGTTTTCCATCTTATTTTATCATTCGCTGAAGTGTGGATATATTTCGAACTCCCAAAAACTGGGTAAACTATGAATGCTATATTAATGTGATCATATCTGCTTAGAAATAAAGTTTCTGAGCTATACTGAAATGAGAGACATTAAAGTCCACAGCTAGAAGAAGGAATAAGTCCGGGAGAGGACTTCCGTGACGCTGTAACAACTGGTTATACCACTGTTATATATTTATGATTTCTCTGGATAATATTTTTCCTCATTCACCAACACAATAAGTACAGACAGGTGCATAATAAATTAGTGCCAAAATTATGTTTACATGCCTTCTGTTTTCTTTTCTTTGTAGAACAATTGTACAACTGTACTTTAGTTGTAGCAAAACTATACTGACAGACCGTTCAGTTCAGTTCAGTTCAGTTATTAACATGATAAAACAATGATCTTTAAATTTCAGTTTGTAGTTTTGTGTTATGAATCCTATCCTGTCCTTATTGTTGTGGTATATAGCACAATACTTGGGATTTCGTGTAGAAGATTTCATTGAATTTTTGAAAAGTTCCATTGAAACAAAATCTACGTGGTGGCCATGGTGGTGATGAAATCAGTGACTCAGTAATCAAATAACAAAGACAAGACAAAAACACTTCAGGACAACGTTCATAATGACAACATTCAAAAGAGGGGAAGCACTACAGGTTGGCACAAGTAAAATTGCATACAGAGTCTGTAAAAACACACACATACCGGCAAATGCACATGTGAAGATAATGTTGGCACAGTTGCAACCTTAAATTTTAGATGTACTTTTTACAGTTCACCCTCAGAACAGTGCAATTTCATTACAGCACGTTACATTAAGCATTTTAAATTTCTGTTGATTGGGGCTGACCTTTTTTTCTCTAAGTCCTCATGAATTTTTATTTGTTATTGAGGAAAAGACAAGGGACATAGTGTAAGCAACTAAAGACTACAGTGACCTTTGACCCTGTGCCACGAGTCACCGTTAAAAACAACATTGCATTTATGTCTTGATGCATGCTCAGTCATCCAGTTAAGTAAATCTCCAAAAGTTGATTCTGTTCATCTGGACGTAGCATTTTCAGTGGGAGAAACGTTGCATTTATATATGTTTGGATTTATATATGTTTTATTATTCATTCATGTGTTTCTGTTACATATCGAATGAACTACCAGCTGGTCCAGTGCTCTTGTTACATACAAATTACTTTTTTAGCACAAGCACACAAAGGTGCTATATATATATATGTGTATATATATATATGTATATATATATATGTGTATATATATATATATATATATATATATATATATATATATATATATATATATATATATATATATAATTTTTCTTTTGACAGAACTTGCTTCAACTCTGTATTCACATTTTATTCATTAATTTCTTTTTCATTTTGAACTTCTGCAGATTTTCCCCGGCTGTCAACTGTCTTCTTCCCTCCCAGGCCGGTGATAAAGAGGATCTTCCTTCTCTTAATCCACATTAGCTCTGATGTTGTTTACTCACATGTAATGAGTGAATAATCAGCACAGCGGTGCTAACCCTTTCATCCCAAACCCTTTTAGCCCAGAGTTTATTAACTCTACCACGATGAAAGACCTCAGTGAGAATATTAGGCTTTGTGTTAGGCTTACTGCTCGCATATCAAATGAAGCACATGTAGGTGGCAAATGAAACACTGGGGCCTAATTCTCCAGCCTGATATGCAGATCCACTATTCTCTATGAATATTAAAGTGTTCTCGGTGAGCTTAGCAGGTAATTAGGGCATGAGGTGAAAGAAAAGGGAAAGAGCAGGGAGGGATCCTAGTCTAGACTCAGTGGTGCCAGGAACCTCTCTGTGTTTGCAGTGCCCCATTAACAAAGATACACTAAAAGAAAACTAGATAACCAGTCACAGAGACTGATCTCTGACATGTTGTGGAGATTCTTCAAGTACTTTAGCCTCCCAACAGAGATATTTTTAAGAGGCTTCTGGAAAGGCTAGTTTCCAGGGTATATGTGTGTGTTTGCACTAAAGAAAGATGACTGAACTTGTAATATTCAAATGAAATTTTTATTTTTCTCATTTATGTGAAATAAACAAAAACAACTGTTATTCAAATATAAGGCCAGGCAGTTTCATATAGAAAGAACTTTTGTACACACAGACGTTGTGCGGGGAAATTAAAGCAAAGTTTAAAAAATGAAATCAAAACAGCACAATTCAAACTTACACCACTACAGTCTGGTGTTCATAACCTAAAAAATGATGACAGAGCGATACAAGAGCAAAAGTAAATAAGATATGAAGATAACATGATTCAATTTGAAGATGACGGCTAAAATAATAACAGAGAAATAAATCCATATGAAAAGTAATGATTATTTATGGATTGTCATCTATTGGAAGATGTGAGGGGCTGTTATGGAAATCATTTTCTTTTTATGTTATTGATATTTTTGCAAACTAGTTAAGGCTATAAATGCCATTCAATGTGGCACAGTTCACGTAACATACTTATCCCTATAAAAATATAAGTTAAATTAATTTTTGCAGCCAGCTGGAGCCTTCCCAGGTGGCTTAGGGTAAACCTGGGCAGGTTGCCAGTCTGTCACAGGGGCAACGCAGACAGACAGACAAACATGCATGTTTTTAGACTATGGGGGGAAGCTGGAGTACCTGTACATGACTTTCTATGTTTCTATAATGCTATATATGAGTTATATTTGCTAATGGCAAATATCTACTATGTTATAATACCTAAAAAGCCTACAGATAACATTTAATAAAAGTAATAAAAACTTAACCATAACCATAATAAAAACTTGTTAAATATTAAAAAACAAAACAAAACTGAAATGAAACAAACAAATCCTGAACCCAAATGAATGTAAGCTCAACCAGTGCTATAATATAATATAATATAATATGATATAATATAATATAATATAATATAATATAATATAATGTACCCCGCCTTTCGCCCTATGACAGCTGGGATAGGCTCCAGCGCCCCCCGCGACCCTCAAAAGGATAAGCGGAAGTAAATGGATGGATGGATAATATAATATAATATAAAAATTCCCATCTAAAATTATTTTTTAAGGTCTGTGAAATATTATATATTTTATTGAATATATATATATATATATATATATATATATATATATATATATATATATATATATATATATATATATACATGTTCCTTTCAAAGTATTACAGCTACAAATGAGTGTGGGAGATGGGCTCTTCTCCTCTGTATTTGTTACCAGCAGAGGGCGCCCTCTGGTAAATCCCCAGAGCTCCATGCTGCTTTACATGTTTAATATAGTTTCTCAGTACTAAATTATACAAGAATGAACACAAAATATAACCACAAACATACATGTTTGTTTTTTATTGTCAAAAGTGCACTCACTTATATTTTATTTAGCTGTGTGTTATTGCAGTCTTTCCTTTTTCAAATGTGCACACCTCATCCATGCACATGAAATGTGAATGAAAGAAACTGACTGGCGTATTGTGCAAGAGAAGCTTCGAATCCGGACAAGATATTTTATATTTAAATGGTTTATTATAAATAGTGGTATACAGAAATAGAAAAATAACTGTTAGTCATATCAATATTTACATGGAATTTTTCAGAGGAGAAAATAAATAAAAGATAGAATTAGAATGATTATTTCAAATAAATAACTTGATTCACAGTGAGGCAGTAAACACAGTAAAGTTTGTTGTCTTTTTCTGCTGAGGATCACACAGAGATTGGAGCGTTCAACCCCAATACTCCCTTGGAACCAGCGGGGTGCAGAAGTCTTTGCCACACATCTGTTTTGAAGAAAGTGGAAGATATATTAGTATTAGAAACATGCAAAAAAAATTGTTGTACAAACAGTGAATTCTGAATTATGTGACTGATTTAATATTCACAAACCTGACAGGAAGGCTGTGGCACTGGAGGCGACTGTAGGATACCGTCCATGCTCATATCTCTCTGGGGAGCTTCATTGTATGGTCTGTGGTGCTGATCCACTCCAATACTACAATTCCCAGAATGCAGCACAGTATTCTGGCTATGACATGGTTTTGGGTACAGGCTGCTCTGGATCAGATTCTGGCTCTGCATCTGAGTCACTTGTCCTCCTGTGGAAGCACTCTGGAAGTAGCTGAGGATGTCAGTGGATGACGTGTCACTGACTGAGGTGTCTGCTCGTTCCCTCCTCTGAAACAGCACCTCTTCGCTGAGGCCCAGCTGGGATGACAGGTAGGAGATGTAGCGGATGGTGAGTCGGAGGGTTTCTATCTTCGTCAGATTTTGTCCGGCAGGTGCCACTGAAGGTGGGAGGTAGGACCTGAGGTGATGTAGAGCCTTAGTCAGATCCCTCATCCTTAATTTCTCCTTTTCGCTGGCGCTCTCCCTCTGCTTGCTCCGGATCCGAGTGGGCCTCCCAGTCCTGCGCCCACGTCCGGACAAGGAGCACGGTGAGGACTTGAGGCTTTGGGAATAACCGGTTTTGGCTCCCTTGGGAGTACACTGTGGGAGCTGCTGGTAGCCAGGAGAGAGGCTGGAGTCCATGGAGTGGACAGGAGAAAGTGTCTCTGGGGAGGAGATGCTGGAGAGGTCCGAGTCGGAGAACCACTGGTACTGCAGACTGTAGTCAAGGTGAGGAACTGAGGAGGTATCCATGTTGTGTTTAAGGGTCTCAACAGTGTGACCGGAGAGACTGGAAAGCTTTAAGTGCTCCTCAGCTCTGCTCCAGTGCTTTATAAGCCCAGGCCAGGCCACAGAGGTGCGAAGTGACACCTTCACAGATTCTCACAATCACTGTCTAAGCAGAGGCTACTGCCCCTGAACACACACACACACACACATCATGAGTGGGACCCTGTCTCTGTACCTCTCCCTCTGGTTCTCCCTCTTCTCTGAATCTGGGAAAGCCCAGAGCTACAGCAGTCGACGTGTGAATTTTGACTCCTTCTGAAAACAATAAACAGATTTTGGTTTTTTGGCTTTTTGTCCCTGCAGCAGGCCTGATGCATTTTGCACATGTTTAAGGGATTTGTTTGGAATAATCTCATTTCTCTTTCTTACATTCACTTGCTAACAAACACACACACGCACAAGCAAACATGCGAAAAGGTCAGCGCACTCAACAATATGACAGAAGAGTGTGAAGAAGACATACACTGCAGAAATAAAGCAATGATATACGATACAGAAAAACCTGCCTGTATGCTGACTTAACCACAGTTTTTTACATTGGCTCCTGAAGATGGATGTTATGTGCATATGTACTTCACACTAATCTGCAAAAGTACCAAGAAAAGTCAACGTTTACTATAAATTAGAAGTATGTGGAACTTAATCAGGATTCTGATCCATTATCAGCAAATATCTATCAACGAGCTAAATTTCAACAGCTGCATGACAGATAGTACTAAAGATAGATAGTATTAAAACAATAACATTTTCTAAATCTGATTCAACATCAGAGTTATTATAGTACTGATATTATAGTTTCCACTTAGCTTTCCATTTCCATTTTCAATTCTCGGTTAGGGTTTCCAAAGTTGGGTTCTTCTTTAGTTACAGTTTGGCAGTAACATGCAAGATTTACATTCAGAACAGGTTTTTATAATGCAAACACTTAAACATGTATTTCAGCAACCAAGCAATATGTTGCATGAGGCTGTAAACCCCGACACCCTGTGCGATCAGCTCTTAAATTCTTCTATGAAGTGCAGTTTATGCCTAAATGCACGTTTTATGGATTTAAACCAATTGAGGCAAGCCCAGATATTAGACTGCTCCTATTATCAGAATCAGAATCAGAATCAGAATACTTTATTGATCCCTGGGGGAAATTATTTTATCTGATTCATTTTGACGTCAGATGTAGCAGGGTTTGAATTGGGTATAAATATTGTTTATGTCTTAAAACACAACACTAATGAATGACATTAAGTAAAATATTAAAAGCTGGCATGCAGAATGAAAACGCTAAATCGAGAGTCTGGGATTGTGTGTTGTTTTAATCATGTGTGGCATGTATTTGAACAGTGGGTGTGCTGCTTCAACAGGTCTTTGCCTTTCCTCACCTCTCTCTAGCCTTGAACCTGACAGCGTCCTCTATTCTTCACTTCATCTCCTTCATTTTACATCCCACCATTTCTCACCTGTGTGATCATTTTATTGTCACAGCAAATCAGGCGTGAGCGCCAATCCTCTTCTGTCTTTACCTCAATCGGTGAACTGAAACCGCTGCTCTTGTTTTTATGTGCTTCAAGGAAGAAAAGTTATGTCCTGAATGGCTAAAATGCTAATTTAATGAGGTTTAATGGAGCCTAATGAACCTCTGTTATCCAGTTAAAGCTGAGGTGTGATTATTTCACACTCATGGGAACTGATGAGTCTGAAGGCGTCACTTCACACCTCAGCAGTGAGAACCAGGAATGCTGGAAAATATAGTCGCTGGTAACCTCTCTGTGTCCCCAGTCTTTCTGTGTTTTCCCTGGAAAAGGCTCGGTATTAAAGGAACAGTTCACCCCAAAATTCCCTTTAAGTGTTCTATTTTTTCCTCTGGTCTGTAATTTCCATTATTTTTGATGTGAGTTGTCAAGTTTTTGAGAGATTATACTTGATTTATGGTGCTAAAAGTACCAAATTAAGACATTTGAAAAACTAAACAGAATTTATCTTTCCGTAAATTTTGGCTAATGTACTTAGAATAATACACACATACTGTGAACAGTTTCTCGTACGAACTATTGTCTTTCCACTACACATCACCAACCAAGAGATGGGTGAGACCCACAAACTCTCTACACATACAGATACATGGCTTTTTCTTCAAGGATAAGGCTGGTAGAAATAATTCCTGCATTAAATGGCTCACAGTAAGTTTGTGGATGTTTAACTAAAGGAAGATTTTTGGAAAGAGACATTTATTTTTATGTGTTTGTACACTTTAAGCAAGGCCAGGTGAGCACAGTTTAGTTCCAATATATTCAAAGAGAAGGCAAACATTTCCCCAGTTCATATCTCCCAAAGGGGAGACCGGTGTGCCTTCTGTCCCCTTAAATAAAAACGATTGCCCTACTGAGGGCTTTTTATGGGGTAGATTTAGAACATAACAGAGATGATAAATTTCCCATTTTAGTGAAAAACTAAAGTTTTAAATTTTGCATTCGTGTCTTAAAAAAATATGGCATCTTAAATCTGAAACCTATTCCAAATAATAAAACATTCAGGCTTTATTTGAGTGTACAACTTCACTAAAAAAAACAACATGACATGTTTACTGATTGTCTGTGAATGCTGAGTCTGTGCATTTATGCTTTTTCACAGCATTTTCCAGTTGGATGCATCCCCTTTTCTGAGCTAGGAGGCAATTTGTCTTTCCTGTCTGTGTTGGACTGTCTGCTCTTTATTAAATCATCTATTAAACATCAAAGCTGTCATAAATCCAAACCCTGTTCAACACAGCAGTTAATTCTGTTCTTTCCAGTTGGCTTTGTGTCAATGGTGTATTCTCCTTGATGGAGAACTGGCATGCTGTAAAGCAGGTAATTAAATAAATACATGTTTGTAGACAGTGTCCTCCAGTTGGGAGCACATTCAGTTGTTCTGACTAGAAAACTGACGAGCTGGAAGCTCCAGAAGGCTTAAATATGACAGATAAAAGGACATAAGTGTATAATATGATACTGTTGTGGCCTGAGCTCTGAAAGTGATGGATAGGTATGTGCTATGTCAGGCTGCGGGCAGAGTGAACTGGGTTTGAACCCGCTGATCGACCCTGCCAGTCACTCTGAGCAAGGTGAGGCTGTGGGAGCCTGGCTGAGAGTTTGGCACCTCTGGGTGGATGCCCACCCACAGAAGGCTCAGAGGCTGGGCTGCCTGCCACCTGTCTGTGCCTCCCTCAACCCCACCACGACCTCCAGGGTGTTCCCTCTGCTTGGACTAAAAGCTAGTTTGACATCATTTATAACATCATTCTTTGGATATTCTGGTAGTGACATAGCAAATAAATATTTTTAAAAAAAGATAAGAGATATGAAATTTGATGAATCACTGTAGAACACAGTAGAAATCAAACATATTATACATGCATGCATAGCAAAATAGTTTGCATAACTACGTTATTTTGACTTTTATCTCATTGATGTGAAACTCATTTCAGGAGCAACAGTAAAAGAAAACTTTATAGCAAATATATCACTGTGCACAACTCTGTAGTTCACGACTATTATGGCTCTCAAGGGTTTTAGATAATTCAGGTTCTCTTGATACTCAGATACACAATTTCAGGGTTAGGTTAGTCTTACTGTGATTTCTCCTTCACTGTGAAACACCAAATATCTTCAAGAAAGATTAAATTGCACAATATCATTGGACTGATAGAGGATAGGTTTGGTTTTGGGGGGAATTTTGTTGTTGTCGTTCTTGTTTGTAGAGATGTTAGACATGTTCAAACCTAAAAACAAATCCCAGGGCCTGCTACAGTTTCCAGTTTAAAATAGGTTTCCTCGAAACAGTCTGCAAGAATATGCAATGGATGTTGCTCTATAAGCAGAAACATGAGTATCAGCTATCGCAATGGCAGTGCACACAATTCACTTGGGTGACAGAACAAAAACATTTTGCTAAATTTGGTCAAGGCTAAAAGCCTTTTTTAAAAATTCCAAGAATCACTGCATTAGCTAAATTGCAGATCAATTGTGAAGGTTCTGGGTGTCAGGCCGCATGTTTCACAATCATGGTCTACACTACACTGCAAGTCAGTCCTCCCAAGTGGACTATAAATTAATATTATAAGAGTAACTACTTATCTGTGGTGTCTACAACTATCCATGTGGACATCCACAAGGCATTATAAACCTAGATTTACACTTTTTGCTACTGTGGGCATGTGGGGGTTTGCTTGGGTCTGAATGACATACTGTACATTTTGTCATTATAGGGTGCACTCATGGTTCTGTGTGGACACCCATGTAGCTGCAATGCAAGGGCGCCAAAGGAGTAAATGAGTCCTACAAAGAGACTAGAAAATGATGATGATGACTGAGGATGAAGAACTCTAATGTGCCGAAAAAATGTCAGTCTGTTTTTTTCTTCAAGAGCCACAGCTGCTTTAGTTATAATAGGTTTAGAGAGCTCACAGGTTAACTCAGAGGTCTCATTATTATCCAAATGGCATTGATGGAGTTGACAGAGGCAGTTAAACATAGCAAAAAACAAAGTTGTGAAAAGCAGTATCACTTTAGTCCTATGTGTCCCAAATTCATGCGGCAATAACAGCTATTTTGTTAGATTCTGTGTGTGTGTGTGTGTGTGTGTGTGTGTGTGTGTGTGTGTGTGTGTGTGTGTGTGTGTGTGTGTGTGTGTGTGTGTGTCAGTGGGTGAGGTGGCATGTGAGCGGAGCACATTTTACACCCTAGGTGTGAAACAGTGCTGGAACCGGAGGGGTCAGCCAGAGGTGCACAGTAAATTTCATCTAGTTGTTAGAAAGTGACGTTCACAGAACATCAAAGAATCCAGCTGGCCAACACGACTCAGGTAACTTCTTCTCCAAGCAGGAAGACGCTGTCAGGCTGCAGAAATAGGTCAAATTGCGCAAAAGTCAGTACGAGATTAAATTTAAATATTAGCTTCAGAGACAACGTTTCACTGGCCTCTACAGCCAT